GAAGACCAGAAAAAGAGTACTTCAAGGCACCGTTGTCGAGAGACGAGGTGGCCGAGTGGTTAAGGCGATGGACTGCTAATCCATTGTGCTCTGCACGCGTGGGTTCGAATCCCATCCTCGTCGAAATCTATTTTTTTTGTTATTTTCCGCTTATTCGTAAATTAGTCTTTAAAATTTAAACAGGATCCAAAAACTGTTACAGAAATAAACTACTATATGAGAAGTATACAATGTGGTTTCACATTGAATTGTTGTTTTTTTCCCCAAATCCGAGTTTAGGAGCTGTTTTAATTTATTGGGCAGCAGAGTCTTTTTCCTTTTATTACAGTATTTTATCTATGAAATATCACGGGATGTTCATCATAAAACGCACTACTGTGATATTATTGCTCAGTGATGCATCATACACGCCTCAATCCGGGACAGACACGCACCGGAAGCGGCGCCATCTTGGCTCAAACATTTCAGCATGGGACCCCGCATTTGGAATCAAAATGGCTCCCATTCCCCCCAGCTCCGTAGTGGAACGAGTATAGATGAATGCCACACTGAAAAATGAAGCACGTCGTGTCAGCTCTCCACTCGAAACATGGATTTCAAAAGTACGATGGGGGGACACAAATCTGATTTAGTTTCCCAAACGTGCATGGTGCTCAGTCCAAATATCTGCACAGAAGTGCACAAAACGTATCTTCCTTGTGAGCCTTCTCCGGCATTCCAGAGCTATATAGATCATCTTGTACAAAACATTGAACGGCCTAACGCAGGTGCAGTGACTTATGTCAGGACAGTAAGTCTGACTGCCTAAGAACAGCAGGGCAGCCCGAAACTTTCCAAGTTATTTTGCTAGCGTTTTTTTAACGCGAGGAACGAGCACAACTTGATCCACTAACCGAAACAGGAGGAAGTTCTTTACGTAAAGGGTGGTGGGAGCGTGGAACAAGATGCTGCACATCGGTGGGGGAGGGGAGTCCCCGTCACCTGTCAAGTGTTTTGAGTGGAGTGTCTAGAAAGGCGCTATACAAGTGTAAGCAATTTATAATCATTATTATTAACAAGCTGCCCAGCCCACTGGTCAAGAGCTGAGACTCAGGCTTCTTTCAAGAAACCCCTGGATGAGATCCTCAGATCAATGGGCTCCTCACTGCCATTAAGGGGCCAGATGGCTCCTAAGTTGCGATTCATTTTATACCTTATGTACGGGAAGGACCATGTGATTGTTCTGGACTGAAATGCATTATAAGTGGTAAAGAAGCAAAAAATAAACAGAGTCTCCAATGACTTTTTAGGTTTTTATTCATAAAGCAAAACAAAATTAAAAAAAAACTCTACACACAAATACATTACAGACATGGCAAACTGTGCACGCTCTGGCCTGCGAAAAACTGCGACGCCAGCCCCTCCCACCAGCGCGGGCGTCGCTAGGAGACCAGCACTCCAGCCCCGCCCTTGGACCCGCCCCCTCCCCCGTCGCTCTCCCGGTTGGCCGAGCCCGCCGCTTTCCCCGCCCCCTCCTCCTCGCCCACCAGTCGGATGTTGTAACGCTCCCGGTACTCGTTCAGCTCCCGCCCCTTGGTCTGCATCTGCGCGTTGAGCGACTCCACGATCTTGGAGATCTGGGAGAGGGGGCGGGGAGAAGGGTCAGCACACACACAGGAGGCAAGCTCATCACTCTCACACCAACGTATAAAACGTGAGCAAAAAAAATAAATAAATGTGGTATGATTCTCCCCTTCACTTCCTCACATGGTATGAAATGCCCTCCTACCTCTCGACACCCATGAGGAGACCGGCAGGGAAGATCAGGCCTGCCTACAGAGCTAAGCCCTCCGCAGAGGATGACCTCCGCCTCGAACCCCGGCCCGGCCCGACCCGACCCGACCCGGCCC